ACGCATCAGCCAAGGAGTTGGTGAATCCGAATTCAAGAAGGAAGTTTTGGAGTTCATTGTACCAAGCTCTTGGAGCTTGTTTGAGTCCGTAGATAGCTTTACGCAGCTTGCACACAGCATGAGGGTTGTCGGGATCAACAAAACCTGGTGGTTGAGTCATATAAACATTATCCTCAAGTGTGCCTTGAAGAAAGGTATTATTGACGTCGAGTTTCCGAAGGGGCCAGTTGTGCGAGACTGCAGTACTCAGGACGATGCGGATCGTGGCAGACTTTACAACAGGGCTAAACGTGTCATGGTAGTCGATGCCTGGTCGTTGAGTGAAGCCTTTAGCAACAAGACATGCTTTGTATCTCGCAATGGTTCCATCCGGATTTTGTTTTATTGTGAAAATCCACCTGCAACCTACCACATTAACAGCATTAGTGGCATTAGTTAAATTTTCGAGATCCCATGTTCGGTAGCCAATTTGAGCATTAAACTCATCACTCATGGCCTTACGCCAATGAGGATTCTTGAGAGCTTCTGCAACTGTGCGAGGAGGCAACTCTGTTGCTGGTCTAACAGTGGTGTGAAGATTGAGTTTGTTAATTGGTTTTCTTGGTCGAGTGCTGTGCCGAGTGGGAAGCAGAGGAGGAGGTGGAGGTGGAACAGGGGAAGGTGCAATAGGTGGAGAAGGAGGTGAAGGATTATCTAGTGTAGAAATGTCAGAAGATGAGGGTGAGGAAGCTTGTTCTGATGTGGTTACGGCTGTTGAGGTTGACGTAGATGGTTGAGAGGAAGGTGAGGATGGAACTTGTTGTTCAGGTAGGGAAGATGTAGGTTCTGGTGATGTAGAGGATGGTAAAACAGTGACAATGGGATGTAACGAAGAAGTTAAAACAGAGGATTCTTCCTCAGACGTGTTTAAATGTTTTTGTATGGAAAAAGGAAAAATATTTTCATAAAAAACAACGTGTCTTGAAGTGTAAATTCGAGACGTTTCTTTGTCTAAGCAAAAATATGCACTTTGCGTGATTGAATATCCAAGGAAAATACATGGCATCGATCGTGCATCTAACTTATGAGAAGCATATGGACGAATCCACGGAAAACACAAACAACCGAAAATCTTTAGTTTTTGAAAATTTGGAGCATGTCCATAAAGTTTTTGAAAAGGAGAGTTGAAATCTAAGATAACAGTAGGCATTCGTTTTATTAAATAAACTGCTGTGGCAAACGCATAAGTCCAATATGACTTAGGTATAGAGGCGTGTGAGAGAAGAGCAAGACCCGTTTTCACAATATGCCTATGGCGCCTTTCGGCTATACCGTTATGTTCGGGCGTGTATGGTGGTGTAGTCATATGGGATATCCCATGAGTTGAAAGAAAATCTCTTAATCCTATATATTCACCCCCATTATCAGTATAAAGTGTTCTAAGTTTGGTTTGAAATCGATTTTCAACCAAAGCTTTAAACCGGGTAAAAACATCAAAAACTTGAGACTTGCGTTTTAAAGGGTACAACCATGTGTACCGTGTGTAATGATCAACGAAAATAACATAATATTTAAAACCGTCTATAGAAATTAACGGAGAAGACCACACATCCGAAAACACAATATCAAGAGGATGTGTGGATATAAGAGTTGATGTTTGAAAAGACAACTTGTGCATCTTATTTATCGAGCAAGCAGAGCATGGCTGAGCCAGTAAAGCATTTGAAACAACTGGTAATTGAAATTCCAAAATAATCTTTTGAAGTATTTGAAAAGCCGGATGTCCCAAACGGGAATGCCAATCCGATAAAGTCGTCTTAACGACGGAAGCAAAAGCAAGGGAAGGTGGGGTTGATGTGGTGGTTTTTGGCCATTGGTAGGTTCCATCCTTGGGTTTACCCTCTAGACGAAGATCCCCTGTTTGAAGATCTCTCACCTGAAAGTACGTGGGAGTAAAGGTGACAGCAACTTTGTTAGTTGTACATAGTTGAAACACAGAGATCAAATTATTTTCAAGTGACGGAACATATAACACATTATTGAGAAAGAAAGGCTTTGTATAAGATGGTAAATTAAGAGAGCCAGAGTGGGAGATTTGCAAACCAGAACCGTCGCCGAGAAGCACACCATCTCCACCACTATATGGATTGTGGAGAGAAAGATTTGCTAAGTCGGAGGTCATGTGATGAGATGCACCGGAATCCATTAGCCATGTAGAGGAATCTGACATCATAGCATGATTAGCAGTTGGCTGCCATGGTGAAAATTGAGGCGGGGGTTGCCATGGCATTTGGTTCCGTGATTGATTTGGCGTTGTTTGAGCGGAAGCAGAGCCTCGAACAATACAAAATTCTGGACAGTATTTAGCGCTATGGCCTTGCGTACCACACGCCTGACAATGGCCTAAGTACGGTTTGGAGAACCGTTGTTGGTGTTGTTGACCAGAAGCTTGATAGGAACGAGAGGAGTTGGTGGTGTGATTGTTGTTGTTGTTGCGCCAATTTTGTCGAGATTTAGCATACGTAGCATTAGCAACAATTGGTGTAACAGGGGGAGAGTCGGAGCAAAGAATCATGGCCTCACGGTTGAGTAAACGTTCGTGGAGCTCAGAGTAAGAGATGGCGGAGTCTCTCCCATTTATTGCATCGATCTCGTGCTTGTATTCTTCACTAAGACCAGCGAGAATTTACTCAGTTAAATCTTCTGGATCCATTGGCTTGCCGAGAAGAGAGAGATCGTCGGCTTTAGATTTGATTGTGCGTAGATACTCGCTGATAGTTTGAGTCCCTTTGACACATTGTTTGATCTGAAATTTGAGTTGACGAATATGGCCTCGTGTGGGATTCCCAAAGGTTGTTGCTAACGTGATCCAGATCTCCTTGGTGGTGATGGCACTAGAGACAACCGATTGTATAGGTTGAGAGATAGCCCCAATAAGAGAGCTGTATAGAAGACGATCTTGTCGTCTCCATGGGGTATAGGCAGGATTAGGAGAGGAGACTCCTTCCACCGTCAGAGTAGGAGCAGGAACAACCACCGAGTCTTCAATGAAGTGTTGGAGCTCATGACCTTCGAGTAAGGCACGAACCTGCTTGCTCCACATGAGATAATTGACACTGGTGAGTTTAGTAACACTCGATATGTTGACGGAGAGGAGAGTGTGATGTGGATTCTAAGGGTTGAAGATGGTGGTTCTTTCAGCGGTTATGTCTGCCATTTTGATCAAAACAGAGAAACAGAGGAATAATATTTCAAGAATAAGAGAAAGATGGAGAGATTAACGATGATGAATCAAAGAAGAAGACGAAGAAAAGATAGAGTAATGGCGGCAGAGAAAGAAAAGAGAGAAGAGAAAAAAAAATAGGTTTTAGGATCTATGTGGCTCTGATACCATATTACAATATGGAATTGTATATCTTATTGAAAAGAGAATACTCTGCTTATATACACAGATATTACATGAAGAAAGGGAAATACAATCTACACACTTAATGAATCCTAACTATACGCTTAACGAGTTCTAACTATACGCTAATCATGAGTTGTACACAATCATTAGTTTCTATATTCCTACAGAAGAGAAAACAGATTATCACATTGTCCAGAAGATATTAATCTCTCTTCCCGCCAGATTTGACAGCATAGTGGCTGTAATGTAGCAAACGAAGGATCTTACTTCGTTGTCAATGACAGAGTTAATAGGAACTCTGAAGGCACATGAGAAACATGTGTCATCTTGTGTCATCTCGTGATGAAAGCATGACGGAAGGAGCGTTTTATGGAGAAAAGTTTGTTTCAAAAGGAAGAAACAAAAGTGATGATAAACATCACAAGAAGGCCGATAAATGGTATGGTGTTTGCAAACAGTACAATCATAACGAAAGTGAAAGTTGGTTAAAGAAAACGAAGAGCCAAGGTGTCTCTTCACAACAAGTTGCAAACAATGAGAGAAAGTGTTTCGTGTGTAACAAACCGGGACATCTAACAAAGAATTGCAAACTTAGAAAAACCATGAGTGCGGATCTAAGTATTGAAGAAACAGAGGATGACTCAGAAGATGAAGGTCACATGATGTTTAGTGCAGTCGGAGAAGAAACATCATCAAGAGTAGATGATGAAACATGGTTAGTTGACAGCGGATGTACTAACCACATGTCCAAGGAAGTATCATACTTCATCACTCTTGATAAGAGTATCAAAATACCAATCAAAGTGGGGAATGGTCAACGAGTAATCACGGCAGGGAAAGGGAATATTCAAGTGATGACAAGCCAAGGAGAGAAGATCATCAAAGAGGTGTTTCTAGTGCCAGACTTAGCAAGGAATCTGTTAAGTGTTTCTAGTGCCGGACTTAGCAAGGAATCTGTTAAGTGTTTCGCAAATGGTATCAAATGGGTATGGAGTCTTGTTTAAAGCCAATCGATGTTTCATAGATGATCCACAAGGAAGAACGATACTGAATATCAAGATAAAGCACAAGATTTTTCCATTTATATGGATGCAAAAAATGAAGACGGTAGACAGTCTTAAGTTTGAAGTCACAAAAGAGATATGTGACTTCTGTGAGATGGGAAAGCAATCAAGGAGAAAATTTCCTAAGGAGTCTCAAACAAAGACAAATGAAGAATTGGAGTTGATACACTCAGATGTATGTAGCCATTGTAGACAACAAGATTTGAAGAATTGAGAGACAAGTTCGGAGTCAAAGAGAAACTCAATTAAGGAGGTGTTGGATTTAATTAAATTTAATCATATGAATTATAAAATTAGAAATTGTTTAGTATTAAAGGGTGCTTCTAAGCATCGTGATGTTTGTAAAGAGTTGTAACTCTTAGTTTAGGACACATGTAGAAAGACACAAATCTTGTTCATGTTGTTTGGAAAAGTATATAAACACATGTTCTCCTTCTGTTGTAAACACAGTTTTTCGATAATCAATAATTAAAACACAAGTTTCTCATATACGGTATTCTGTTTATCATTCTACAAAACAGAGCAACAACAAAACACTTGTTTTGTTCTTAGAGAAAGAAGCCTTCGCTTCTAACAATTTTCTCACCACTAGAGGGCAAATACTCACTCCATAAAACCACCAGCTTACAACCATAATCAGCCAATCTAATACTATTATGAGAGAGCTTGGGTAGTCCTACCAAACCCTCCAAATCGTTCCATGCGCATTTTTCAGTGTCATACCACACCAACGCTACGTCCAAAACAGAGTACCAAACATTCTCAATCTCGCAACACTTTGTTTAGCCCGGGACCATCTACCTTTGTCGGAACTATAACAAACTTGTTCCTTAGTCATGAAGTGAAACTTTCCGTCAATACATGCGCTTCTGGAGTCTACAAAGGAGAGTTTTTTCTCGCAAGGGGCGGGCTCCCAGATCTGTGTTCTTGTGTCGAACACCTCGAGTGAGTCCTGTAAGGATCTGTCGCATCCTGCTACATAAATCTTTCGATCAATGACGGTAGCAGAAAGTGATATTAGCTCCACCTTCATGCTCGGAGCTTCGTGCCACGTGTGAGACCGACAATCCAGAACCCATACGCTAGAGGATGGCACACGGTGGTAGTTGTTGAACTAAGCTTGAAATGAAGCTTGAGAAACAAGTCAATCCTAGTTCTATCAAGTTAAGGATACCTAAAGTGTTTAGGATTAGAGATTAATGTTTAGGAGTTATCTAATACATTTTCTAAGTGAATTAGGATTTGATTATTGGCTATATAAGGAGATGTCAAAGTTGTGACATAACTTATCAGAGATTATGTGTTTAAGGTTTTGAGTTATTTTCCTTAAGAAAATAAGAAAGATATTCTTATTGATCTTTGAGTCTTTGAGTTCTATAGTTCTTGGTTACAATTCAATAATTGGTATCAGAGCTACAGAACTTTGATAAAGTTAAGAGCGAATCATGGGAGACATTGTTGCTGCAACAGCTGCAACAAGACCTAGAGAAGGAGGAGGATCGTCATCTATCACATGTCCCATGTTGAATGCAACAAATTACACTGTATGGGCCATGCGAATGAGGGTCACACTCAAGGTACACAAAGTTTGGGAGGCCATCGAAGCAGAAGCGAACCTACCTGACGAAGAAAAGAACAATATGGCCATGGCTTTATTGTTCCAATCAATACCCGAGACACTTGTGCTACAAGTCGGAGAACTCGAAACAGCAAAGCAGGTGTGGGAAGCGATCAAAGCAAGATACGTAGGTGCTGAAAGAGTCAAAGAGGCACGGTTGCAAACCTTAATGGCAGAATTTGATCAACTCAAGATGAAGGAATCAGATAAGATCGACGACTTTGCAGGAAAGCTGTCTGAAGTGTCATCAAAGTCAGCCGCTTTAGGAACAACCATTGAAGAGTCTAAACTCGTCAAAAAGTTTCTCAAGAGCCTCCCACGGAAGAAGTACATACACATAGTAGCCTCACTGGAACAAGTTTTGGATCTAAACAAAACAAGTTTCGAAGACATCATAGGACGACTAAAAGCTTATGAAGAGCGAATCTCTGAGGATGAGGAGGTTCAAGAAGACTCCAGCAAATTGATGTATCTGAATGAGGAAACTCAGAGTAACCATTCAAACCGCGACTCAAACAATGAATACAAAGGCAGAGGTCGAGGAGGACACTATAGGGGAAGAGGTCGCGGAAGGTCTAATGGAGGAAGAGACACTTCCAAAGTCATGTCTTATCGTTGTGACAAGATGGGTCACTATGCCAGCGTATGCCCAGATAGGTTACTTAAGCTGCAGGAAGCTCAAGAGGATGATGAGGATGAAACACAAACAGCGGATGATCTCATGATGCATGAGGTCGTTTTTCTGAATGAGAAAAACTGCATACCGAGCAAGTATGAGAGGACTGCAAATGAAGTGAATGTGTGGTATCTGGATAATGGCGCTAGCAATCACATGACAGGGGATAGAAGATACTTCAAAAGAATTGATGAGTCTGTTACTGGAAAAGTCAGGTTCGGCGATGACTCATGCATTGATATAAAAGGGAAAGGATCAATCTCTTTTATTGACATGAATGGGAAATCACGAACGATGTATGATGTTTACTACATCCCGGATTTAAAGAGTAACATCATTAGCTTGGGGCAAGCTACAGAACCAGGGTGTGATATCAGGATGAGAGGAGGACATTTAACGATGCACGACTCGGAAGGAAAGCTGCTTGTTAAAGCAGTAAGAGCAAAGAATCGACTCTATAAAGTGCATATGGCGTTGAAGAACTCGGCGCGTCTATATCTCACTGATACAAGTGAATCGGATGTATGGCATGCCAGAATGGGACACATAAGCCAAGAGACAATGAAGTCGATAATCCAAAGGGATTTAGTCTTGGGAATCCCACAAATCACATTCGAAAAAGGAGTCTGCAGCTCTTGCTTACTCGGGAAGCAAACAAGACAAGTGTTCCCTCAAGCCTCCTCATATCGAGCAGACAAGATACTCGAACTCATTCACGGAGACCTTTGCGGCCCAATAACACCGAGTACAATCGCAGGAAACAAATACATCTTTGTACTCATCGATGACCACTCGCGATATATGTGGACGATACTATTGAAAGAAAAGAGTGATGCTTTCAATAAATTTAAGACATTCAAGAGATTGGTTGAACAGGATGCAGGAGTAAGCATTAAAACCTTCAGAACAGATAGAGGAGGAGAGTTTGTATCTCAAGATTTTAATGCTTTCTGCGATGAATCAGGCATCAAGCGACATCTCACAGCGCCGTATACTCCACAGCAGAACGGAGTTGTTGAAAGAAGGAACAGAACACTAATGGAGATGTCGCGAAGTATCTTGAAACATATGCAAGTTCCGAACTACTTGTGGGGAGAAGCAATAAGACATTCTACTTATCTGCTAAACAGAGTTGCGACAAGGTCACTTAAGGAGATGACTCCGTACGAAGCCTTTAAGAATAAGTAGCCCAGGATCAATCATCTTCGAGTCTTTGGTTGTATTGGTTTTGCAAAAACAGATAAACCGCACCTAAAGAAGCTAGATGACAGATCACGGATGTTGGTTCATCTCGGAACAGAACCAGGGTCGAAGGCTTACCGTTTGTTTGATCCATTGTCAGGAAAAATAGTAGTAAGCAGAGATGTCATATTCGACGAGAAAAGGGGTTGGAACTGGAGTCGTAATAGCAGCACTCTGGTCGAAGATTTTACGGTTACCCTTGGTGAGTTCGGAAATCGCGGAATACAAGAGGAGGTAGTAAGAGATATCGGAGCAAAACAAACCGACATGGGTAAATCTGGGGACGAGGACAAAGCGTATAATGATGGTGATCTCGCGGCATCACAAGAACATGAGCACGCTGACACTCAAACTGACTCTGTTCAAAGAAACCCAGAAAAACAGAGCTTTGGAAAACAAAGTAGTGTGAGTAACCCAGAAAAACAGAGTGTAAGAAAACAGAGCATGGCGACAGCTCCAGCTCTCCGTCGCACAGAGAGAGAAAGTAATTTGCCAACCTATTTGCAGGATTATGTGCTACTTAACGAAGAAGAAGAAGACATGATGCTACTCGCAGAGGAAGAAGGCGAGATGCTGTTACTATGTTTAAACGATGAACCGAGAAATTTCCATGAAGCTAGTAAATCACGAGCTTAGACACTAGCATGCGAAGATGAGATCCACTCTATCGAAAAGAACCACACATGGAATCTGGTGGATCTGCCAAGTGGTGCAAAAGCTATCGGACTGAAGTGGGTATTCAAGCTGAAACGGAATTCAGATGGTAGCATAAACAAGCACAAGGCTCGACTAGTTGCAAAGGGATACGTACAACAACACGGAGTTGATTTTGAGGAGGTCTTTGCGCCAGTAGCACGGATAGAAACTATACGACTTCTGATCAATCTCGCGGCTTCTAGTGGTTGGGAAATACATCATCTCGATGTAAAAACTGCGTTCCTTCATGGTGAGCTCAAAGAAACGGTTTATGTTTCACAACCAGAGGGTTTCGAAGTGAAGGGACAAGAGAGTAAAGTTTACAAACTTAACAAGGCCTTGTACGGACTACGACAAGCGCCCAGAGCATGGAATAACAAGCTGAATCAGATTCTTTTGGATCTGAAGTTTTAGAAATGTTCGAAAGAGCCCTCGGTGTATCGAAAGGAAGAAAGGGGAAATCTTCTTGTTATAGCTGTCTATGTCGATGATTTGTTTGTGACATGGACAAGTGAAAATATCATTAACAGGTTTAAAGAAGAGATGGCGTCAAAGTTTGAGATGAGCAATCTTGGAAGATTGACATACTATCTTGGAATCGAAGTTTGTCAAAACATAGGCGGAATGGTGCTAAATCAGAGACGATATGCTGAGAAGATTTTGGAAGAAGCTGGAATAAAAGAATGCAATCCAGTTCATGTACCAATGGAAAGCGGGTTGAAACTCGCCAAATCAGAAGGAGAAAAGGAGATCGATGCCACTTGGTTCAGGAAAAACGTGGGATGCCTTCGCTATCTTCTTCATACAAGACCCGATTTGGCTTATAGTGTTGGGGTACTGAGTAGATACATGCAAAGTCCAAGAGAGTCACATGGCGCTGCTATGAAACAGTGCTTAAGATATCTTCGAGGCACCACGACACTTGGTCTAACAATCAAGCGGTCCAACCTGAAGATTCCGAAGATCATTGGCTATAGTGATAGTAGCCATAATGTCGACCCAGATGACGGAAAGAGCACGACTGGTCATATCTTTTACCTTGGAGAAAGCCCGATTACCTGGTGTTCACAGAAGCAAGAAACCGTGGACTTATCCTCATGTGAAGCTGAATTTATGGCAGGTACAGAAGCAGCAAGACAAGCAATATGGCTTCAGGATCTACTTAGTGAAGTTACTGGAGTGCCTTGTGAAAGAGTGGTTATTCGTATTGATAACAAATCAGCAATTGCTCTCACTAAAAACCCAGTGTTTCATGGCAGAAGTAAACACATTCACACACGTTACCACTTCATACTTGAGTGTGTAGAGAATGGGCAAATCGAAGTTGAGCACATTCCTGGTAATCAACAAAAGGCGGATATACTAACGAAGGCACTGGGCAGGATCAAATTTAAGAAGATGAGAGATCTCATTGGCATTCAAGATCTGAAGCAAATGGATTCCAAGCTTAAGGGGGAGATTGTTGAACTAAGCTTGAAATGAAGCTTGAGAAACAAGTCAATCTTAGTTCTATCAAGTTAAGGATACC